CCGATCCGACAGGCCTGTCAGGACAGGTTGCCTAGTTCAAGGGGCTAATTTTCTGTACGTTTCGTTCATGTGCTCCTGTGCAAAGAGGTGGCATGAGGAATACATAGTATTTATCGAAATTCTGAGGAAATTTTACATTTGAGTATCAGGAGAACATGATACACAAAGAAATGGCATAACTTTTAATTAAATATCGATACTTACCTCTTGTATTAGGAGGACGTAATGAGCGAGTAGGTATCATAATTTCTATTTTCTTCTCTATACTTACCTCTTGTGTCAGGAGAACGTAATGGGCGAGTTGGTATCATAATTTCTATTTTCTCCGCGATACTTACCTTTTGTGTCAGGAGAACGAAATGGGCGAGTTGGTATCATAATTTTTATTTTCTTCGCGATACTTACCTCTTGTGTCAGGAGAACGTCGTGTGCGAGTTGGTATCATAATTTTTATTTGTTGCTTGAAACTTACCTTTTGTGTGAGGAGATCATGATGAACGAGGAGGTGGCACGAATCGAATTTGGCTCGAATTTTACTTCTGGTATGATAAGAACATGATATTCGAAGAGCTGGTATTAGTGGTCCGCAGTGGGGATGGTTTCTGTGCATTGATCGTTACAGAAATTTGTGCGTATAAGATTTTACTGTAGTAACAAAAAAATGTTCCGTTATAATTGGGTCTTAGTGCGTCACGAAGCAATGAAGGGGTTTTCTGAGAAAAAAAATGTCCTGTCCGCGGAAAATCATTAAGTATGGTACAGCAGGTAGCGGTTCGCGATCAGTTAGTTTAGTTAGTTAGATTTTGAATCTCTCCAACTCTTGCGTGTTCGCGAAGTCTGTAAATTTTTGAATTGTTGAATTCCTATTGTAGAAGTTGAAAATTTCTTTAAGGATGTTTCTTTTTTTTGTACTTATTTGGAAGAGTGTATTTGTATTTAAAAGATAAGAACTGTAAATGGATTTCCTTGAGACTTCTCCTTGCTCAGACGATCCTTCTGTCGTGTCGAGCCATTCATGGTCGTTCTTTGATTTCCCGTGATAAGTATTCTGTGAGGTTCAATTACAAAA